GAGATGCTCAAAAGGACATTTTTTTTTTTTAATTTTTTTTTCAACGTTTTTTATTTATTTTTGGGACAGAGAGAGACAAAGCATGAACGGGGGAGGGGCAGAGAGAGAGGGAGACACAGAATCGGAAACAGGCTCCAGGCTCCGAGCCATCAGCCCAGAGCCCGACGCGGGGCTCGAACTCACGGACCGCGAGATCATGACCTGGCTGAAGTCGGACGCCTAACCGACTGCGCCACCCAGGTGCCCCCAAAAGGACATTTTAAAGAAACAGAATCACAAATGTCAGCTGTTTAGATGGAAAAGGATGACTACTTGTTAAACTGGACTTACCAGATTTTGACTCACCTGGAGAGAGCAGGGACAGTCAGAACCAGGGGCCTCATGCATCCCGAGGAGGGGGTTTGGGCAAAGTGCTGAAGTCCAGGGTGATCGTGGGCATGTTGGGTTTTGGCAGTGATGTGCACACTTTTTGCTGGACATTAGTTATGTCCACTGGGATTTGACATATTTTCCTTTCTATGAGTGACGCATGACTGAAGGTCCCTCTCCTCTGAGGCTCTGCTGGGGTTTCCTCAGAAGATTTTCCCCAGAAAATATGGGGGACGCAGCGTGTGTCCCCTTTTCAATTACTTTCCTGTCAAGAAGCCACTGAAGTGATTAAAGCCCGCCCTGGGCTGAGACTGTGCAGTGCCCATGCAAGGTCCTTTCGAGGGCACACTGCTGATGAGGCCCGAGTCACCTGAGGACAGCAGTGCACTCTGAGCGGGCACGTCAGACCTGGTGCTGCGGCCCCGCAAGGTGAGGTCAAGTTAGGTGTGGGCTGAGGTGCAAGGTTGGTTCAGTTCTGCGTCTTACGGGCAGAGCCCCCAGAGAAAGGACGTCTGTCGTCCGGGCTTCTCTAGGGTCCTGTTACTTGTGTCAGCCCCTCCTCGAGGTCCTTCACCGTCCAGCCCTCGTTTCACAGTCACATTGGGATACAAGGCCCTGTGGGGAGTCCTAGCACCGGCCAGGGCGCCTGCTGAGGCCATGGGGTTCCAGAGCCCCCAGGCCACTTTGAGAGGCTGCTGGGAGCTCCTGCACAGTCACGTTTCTGTCCTGGATCGTGGGAATGTGTTTGCCCAGTTCGTGGCATTTGCCATAACGGATTCAGTCCTCACAGACGAGCCCCTAGCAGGAGAGAGTAAGATAACGCAGGGCGGCCCCCACGCCACAATCAGCCAGTCCCACTCCCGCCTGGACCCTTGGCCGGCTTCTCAGTGTGGGCCGTAACCCCGTCTGAGCCGGATCCACTTAACGTTTTTTCTAGATGTTGAACTTAAGATTTTGTATTCATTTATTGAGACTGAGCACTTTCTATGAGCCAGATGCTCAGCTGGATGCCGTGGAGTGAGAGGTACAACTGTCAAGGACCTTTTCCTGGGTGTTGGCCAGGGGCCAGACATGGTGGGCGAGATTCTGGACACTCTGGAGGGTGTTCAGAACCAGTTCCCACCAGTGCCGTGTGGCCTCGGGGAGGCCGCTCAGCCTCTCTGCCCTCAGGGTCTTTGGCCGTGAAGTTGGGCTGTAAAACAGTCTAAGAGTCACTGTGAGGAGAAGCGAGACAAGGCACACAGAGCTCACAGCAAAGGCCTCAGTCAGTGGTAGTTACCATTGTTAGTCCTAACCTGTCTGCAGAAACACAGTGAATGTAGGTCTGGAAACTGCCTGCTGGTTCTTGCTGGAGCCCTGTCTCCCGAGGAGACCGCAGCTGAGCTCACAACGCCCGTGCCCAGCCCCGCAGGGCGCCCAGAGCCCAAGCGACTCACCTGTTGACTTACTCCGCGGTGCCGGGGAAACCAGCTTCTCCCAGTCCCGAGGATGGGAGACTGGAATACACACAAATGTGAGATCACTCGTTTGTCCTCCTCCTTTGTCTCCCGATGTGTCTTTATCAAAAGGAACATGAAGCCTCATGCTCAGCCTTGGCTTCCGTAATGGAGACGTTGCGTCGCGTCCCTGGGTGTGGGACCCAGAGATGGTTGTGGAGGCGGGAAGGGCAAGACGGTCCTTACAAGTTCCCGAGACCCAGGAGAAGCTTGAAAGCAACCTGCCGACGTTTCTCTGGGAAGCGGCTCCTGTCCCTAACCAGTCTGCGGCCTTCTGCGCCGGGGACAGAAACGGAGCAGGAAGGCGCACAAGCTGGAGCCCAGGGTGTTGGCGAAGCTTCATCAGCCGCCGCCGGTGCCGCGGGGCCTCGTGCTCATCCTGAACCCAGCACCATGTTTCCCCTCCTGCGTGGCCGTCTCCTCACTCAGCCGCACGAAGTTGCTGCTCCTCGGACGAGGACGGGTGTGGACGGCCTGGGTCCTCTGCCATACTGCCTTGCTGTCCACACCTGCTGTGGGGTAACCTAAGAGTGTGACATCAGGGACTCTGAGACTGTCACGTGGTCTATGCCGGCAGTGTTGGGGGCAGGGGAGCTGTGGCAGAGCCGGGGTTGGGGGTGTGACCCCCAGGTGGGTGAGTGACTCTGCCAGAGCCGCCCCGTGTCCTATTGGGCCTGAGGTTGGGGGCGGGGGTGAGTCTGTAGCCCCCAAACGCTGGTCAGCGGGATTCGCAGCAGAGTCCGTCCAGCTCTGGCTCACTTACCTGGTGACTTGACCTGAGCATCTGGACAGGCCTCCCCATTCTGCACGAGAGTGTGACCTTCCAGAGCCCTGAGGCTGTGGGGTCAGTGCCTGTGACTCTACCCTGGGGCCCTCGGAGGCACAGGACGACCGGCATCCATCTCAGGAGAGAGGGTGTGGTGCTCGCACCCCCACACACTCCATCCGTCTGACTCCGTCTGCCGAGCACGACTCGCATAGTCCTTAACCGCCCCCGGCAAGATGGCCACACACTGTGGTTCTTCCGGGCAGGCCTCTCCCTCACACGCTTCCCGGGTGGGGTGCTGGACCCTGCGGCCCCCCTGCCATGCGGCCACTCCAGCACAACAGTAACGAGCTGATTCAGAACATGAGCACTTGGTGGCATTTTTGGCTTAGGCTTTTTTCTTCTATGTTGAGATAGATGGTTCTCCGTATTAAAGACTGCACGAGAACCTAGAACTTGTTATTTTTTGGGTCCAGTGTCCTCTCTCTAATGAACAGAGACTGGATAAGCACAGGAAATACATAATCAGATGTTTTCAAAGCTGCTGTGCAGACGTTTTTGCCACCTTGCGGGCTATCAAACAAATATCAAGAAAGTTGACTTAAGTCCAGCCATACTGATAATTGTAGCATGGACATGGATTAAGCCCTCCAAATGAAAAGCAGAGATGTTCAATTTTTTTAACTTTTTAAAAAACTCATTTATTTATTTTGAGAGAGACAGAGAGAGAGAGTGGGAGTGCACATGCACATGAGCAGGGGAGGGGCAGAGAGAGAGGGAGAGAATCCCAAGCAAGCTCTGTGCTGACACAGAGAGATCATGACCTGAGCTGAAACCAAAAGTTAGACACTTAACCAAATGAGCCACTCAGGCACCCCCAGAGATGTTCAAATTAATAAAAACAGAAAACAGATAACCATATTCTACTAAAGCCAAAACACATGATATTAGAAAGACATACATAAGTTGGAAGTAAAAGTATGG